TATGTTTTCAGTAATGCCTTAATGTCATCTTCATCTGATGTCAATAAAAATATTACTGGCATTGCTTTTGCTTAGTTTTTGAATGGCATATCTTTTCCTACCTATGTAGTTACTGTCAAATTTCTGTCATTATATTTATGATATGTGTCTTGACAGCAGCATATAGTATTTTTTTAAGCAAAGCTGAAAATTCTTGTCTCTTCTTTCATATACTTGTAATATTTTTATTTTCTGTTTATTTTTTATAGATTTATTTAGGTAAATTAAATTATACAAATAAAAATTATATGCATATACAACATATAACATGTTTTGATAGTATATATATAGTGAAATGATTACCACAATTAACCTGATGAGCATCACTTCTCATAGTGACCAGTGTGTGTGTGTGTGTGTGTGTGTGTGTGTGTGTGTGTGTGGTTAAGAACATTTAACATCTATTCTCTTAGCAAATTTTAAGTATGCAATATAGTATTATTAAGTACCATGTTGTACATTGGATCATCAGAACTTGTTAATCTTGCATAGTCAAACTCTGTCTTTTCATTGGAATATTTAATTCATTTACACTTAATATAAATACTGATATATTTTGGTTTAAATCTATTATCTTCATTTAAACCTCAATCCATTATCTTGCTGTTTGTTCTGTCGTTCTTTCTTTTTTTCTCTCTTCTGTGTTCTTTTGAATTATCTAAAGCTATTTATCATTCTATTATTCCTTCAGTTGATTTTGTTCTATTTTAGTAGTTACCCTACAAATTATAACATGCCTTTTTGAGTTATTAGGATTTACCTTAAGTTGGCACTTTTACCACTTCCTGGTCAATGTAAAGACCTTAAAATTTGTGTCATTTATTTTATACTTCTATATTTTGTGCTATTGCTGTCATGTGTTTTAATTACATACAACTCAATCCCAAAGACACTACTAATATTGATTTAAACAGTGAATATTTATCTATATTTACCAACATACTTGCCCTTTCCGGTATTTTTATTCCTTTTTTCACTCTGCTTCCTTCCAGGATCTTTTCTCTTCTGCCTTTAATATTTTCACTTCAGGTGTAATGGTAATAATTTATCTCTTTCTGTTTATTTAAGGAGCAGAATTCTAGCAGAATTTGGAATGATTTTCTCTTTCCAAAAATCCTTGCTACAATTTTGATAGAAATTGCATTTGACCTATGGATCAATTTGGAGATCATGTTTATTTTTTTCTATGTTGATAATTTTCAAATCCATGATCATGGTATATCTCTCCATTTATTTAGATCTTTTACTTTTTTCATCAGCATTTTATAGTTTTCAACATACAAATACTGAACACCTTATGTTAGATCTATACCTAAGTATTTAATTTTTTGAGTGATTATAAATAGTATTATATTTTTTAATTTGAGTTCCCATGTGTTCATTACTAGTATGTGAAACACAATTGACCATTGAGCAACATGGGTTTGAACCACACAGGTCCACTTATATGTGGATTTTTTCCAACCAAATGCAGATTGAAAATATATTATTCATGGAAAGTGAACCCAGGTATACAAAGGGCTAACTCCTCATATAAAAGAGTTCTGTAGGGTCAACTGAGTGACTAGAGTATATACAGATTATAGTATACATAGGGGGTCCTGGAACCAATCCCCCATGTGTACAAAGAGTCAGCTGTACAATTGCATTGTGTATGTTGACCTTGTATCCTATTACTTTGACAAAATAACTTGCTATATTTTGTTAAACTTCCTTCTGTTTTTTTCTGTGTAAATTATCATGTTCTTTGAAAATAAGGAGTGTTATTTCTTCCTTTCAGATTTGTGAACACGGATTTTTATTTCTTTTTTTTGACTCATTTCATAACTAGGACTCATTTCATAGCTAGGACTTCTAGTACTGTATTGAATAGTAGTAGTGACAGTGAAGATTCTTCCCTCTTTTTCAGTCTTGGAGGTAAAGCATTCAGTCTTTTACCATTAAGTATGATAGTATCAATATGGTTTTTTGTGGATTTTTTTTATCAAGTTGTAGAGGTTCCCTTCTATTCCTGGATTTATGGATGTTTTTAATTATGAGTGGGTATTGAATTTTGTCAAATGCTTTTTTGCATTTAGATATAATCATATGGTTTTTCCTCTCTGGACTGTTAATATGGTAAATTATATTAATTGATTTTTAAATATTAAGCCAGCCTTGCATCCCTGAAATAAACCCCTCTTGGTCATGATATACAAGTCTTTGTATATATTGCCAAGTGCCATTTGTTTATATTTTATTAAGAATTTTGCATCATATCCATGAGTAATATTGATCCGCACTTTTCCCTTTTTAGTACTTCCATTGTTGAGTTTTAGTATCAGAGTAATACTGGCTATTTTCTGAAGGAGGAAATAGGATTTATTGTTGAGTGTATTTTCTTTGTACGGCCCTTTTAATGGTTGTTTGAGGTATTACATTCTGAACACATACTTTGTCAAAGCCTACTGTGTTGACACTTTATCACTTTTAGTACAACATAAAACCCTTACCTGCCTTTTTGCTCCTTTATTCTTTACCATTTAAAATGGAATGTTTTAAATATTTCCTTTACATACACTAAAACATATAGACAGACAATGTTATAATTTTGGCTTCAACTATCAAACATCATTTAGAAAACTCAAGAGGAGAAGGAAAGCCTGTTATATTTGCCCATATTTTTGTTCTTTCCATGTTCTTCCTTTTTCATCATTTTCATTCTGTCTAGAGAATTTCCTTTAGCCATTTCTGTAGAGTAGGTTTGCTAGGAACAAATTCTCTTAGTTTTCCTTCATTTTAGAATGTGTTGACCTCCCCGTTATTTCTGAAGAATATTTTTACTGACTATAGAATTCTGGGCTGACAGTTCTTTTCTTTCAGCACTTGAAAAGTCTTGGCTGCTTAATTTCTGGCTTCCTTGGTTTCTAATGAGAAAACCACTGTCATTAGAATTGTTTTTTCCATATAAATAGCATGTTTCTCTTTGACAGTTTTTCAGTTTTATTTTTTGTTTTAGGGTTGTTTTTTTTTCTGGTCTTTAATTTTCAGAAGTTTAACTGCATTGTATTTTGGCATGAATTTTCATGAGTTCTCTCCCCCGCCCCCGCACTCCTTTCAGGGTTTGTACAGCTTCTTGAATCCACATTATTTATTTATTTGCAAAAACTGTAAAATGTTTAGTGATTTTTAAGTGCTTTCTTAATCTCTATTTCTTCTCTCCTATATGACTCTGATGGCATGAATGTTAGATGTTTTGTTGAAGCTTCACATGTTCCTGAGGGTTTTTTTTTTTTTTAGTCTAACGTTTCTGTTATTCAGATTGGGTAATGTCTGTGTTCTACCTTTACATTCACTGATTTCTTCTATTCTCTCCATTCTGCTGTTGAGCACATCCACTGAATTTTTAAAATTAATCATTGTATTTTTCAGTTCCAGAATCTTAATTTGGTTCTTCTTTGTATCTTCTGTTATTTTAGTGAGGCATTCCATAACTTTGCTCACATTTTTCTGTGTTTTCATTTGTTTCAGGCATCTTTGTAATTGCTTATTTAAGCATTTTTCTGATGACTGCTCTTAAATTTTAAATTTTTATGATGATTGCTAAATCCTTGCCAAATAATATCTGTCCTCTCAGTGTTTGTGTCTGTTGATTGTCTTTTCTCGTTCTGCTTGAAATCTTTGTAGTTCTTGAAATAAGTAATTTTTTATTAAAAAGGGTACACAGGTGGTATTAAGTTATAGGACTCTGGATCTTATTTGGGCCCTTTGTTTTAGCAGACCTCCTCTGATAAATGTAGGGTGCCATTGCCCCACAACTGCCAAATGGAGGTGGAAGTACAGGTTCTCCACTGTTGATACCAGGTGTGGGATGGGCTTGGTACTATTAGACAGGAGAGGAAATTGAGGCTCCCCACTAGGTCTCTCCTGATACTGCCCTAGCTGAGAGGGATGGGGAATCTCATTACTCCCAAATGAGTGCAAAAGTTCAGACTTCCCATGTGTCCTCTGTCGATAGAGGGTGAGATGCTCATTACCAACCAGCATGGTTGAAGTCCTGGCTCTATGCTCAGGCTTCTCTGAGGCCCCTCAGACAGTAAGCACCTTTTTACAGCCCAACAAGGATGAAAGCATAGACTCCGCACCAAGCCGTTTGCTGGTAGCAGTGGTGGTAGAGCTGTAATTTGTTTTTCTGTTGGGTTTGACTGGAATAGAGTGGCTAATGCCTAAGCAATTACCGTCTTGCTGAGATGCCCTTTTCCTGGTATTCTGTCTAGAGAATACCTTTTTATCTGCTCCTGTTGGTGTTTCTAGATTGCCAGTTTCTCTAGTATCTACTCTGGGATATATGAGGCAAAAAGAAACTCCAGGCAACCTACCCTTATGCTGTTCCTCATGTCCGAGGGCCCTGGCTGGTCTGCCACTTGTTCTCTACTTTTCAGAGTCTTCTTATATTATTTTATATAATGCCAGGGTTTTTATTGTACTTAGGAGGAATAGGGAAAAGTGCATCTGCTCTATCTTCCCAGAAGTGGAAGTCTCTGGATGTTGTAATTAAATTTAACTTAACAATTCCTAAGTAGCTCTAATGGTTTGGATGCGTCAGATGAAATATAAACCATACTTTCAAAGGCATGTATGTATCAAGGATGATTAAAGAAAAAAATTTCAGGAGGGGAGACTATGATCAAGGAAATTAAAGAAAAAATTTCTATTTTGTGTAAAATACATTATCAGATTCAAGGAGAGAAAGCCTTGAGTTTCTTAAACCTCATACTAACTGGTGGGAGGATTGGTCATTTTTTTTTTTGTCTCAAAAAGGAAAATAAATCTATATTTAAGAAAAAAGTAGCCATAACATTCTGCCTTTCTGCTGAAATCCTCTAGAAAATTTTCACCGACGTTTGTGCCTCCTTAGCAAACACACTGCAGTAGCCCCTGCCTTCTCTGGGATTCTGTTCTAAAGTGAGCTTCTGTTCCAGGTCGCTTGAACTGGTGGTCTACTGTGTGCACGAGCTGTAAGCGGCTTCTTCCTTTGGCTACGACAGGGGATGGGAACTGCCTTTTACATGCTGCCTCACTGGGTAAGCTCCATAGCACAGACAGGGAGTGGCAGGGCCCGGGCCTGCTCAAAGCATTATTAAAAGACAGACACGTGTCAAGCAGAGCCATCCACATCACTGTCATCTGAAAAGTTGCTGACAAGTTGCCTGCACTTGGTGGGAAGACAGAACACACATGAGAAAAGACCTGTCATGATCGAAGGAGGCCTTAAGCATGAGCTTCAGGCATGAAAATAGAAACTGTGGCCGAGGTAATCAAAGAGGGCTTCCTAGAGTAAGTGGGATCTTTACTGAGACTTGAATTGAAGGAGTAGAAAAGAGGGTATTCTAGACACGGAGACTCCACGGATATGATACAGCAAAGGCAGGAATCAGCATGGTGTTTGGAAGTAGGACTGAGCTAGGTGAGGCTCAAGCAGGAATTCAGGGGAGCAGTGCATGAAGTTGGGCAGATGTGGGGCCACCATATTTATAGCAGTCAGTAAGACAGACATAGGTACTGACCAGAAGACAGACATAGGTACTGCTCGGACGAATCACAAGAGGATTTAGCAGAGTCAGACTTTACAGCAGAGAGATCAGCAACCTGTCCAACAGAGATGTGAGCTTCCTGGTCACCAGCAGGCATGAATGGAAACCTCTGACTGATGGAGAGTCATAGTAGACTTCCTGGAAGCTCAATTATCCCTTCTAGACCCAGCCTTATATTCATAAGGCTGAATCTGTTTTGTTTTGTTCTGATTTTAAATATGTGGGGTACAATTCAGGGTTAGATATGCAAATGTTCATTGTGCAGGTAACCTTGTTGATGGAGTGTGTTTTGGCAGGCTAGTTTGCACCAGGGCCCCAACTTTCAGGGCCAGTTGCTCTTCATCAGCTCTGGAGGAGAGAGTCTCTCTAGGAGACGGGACCCTAAGACAGGAACATGGTCCTTGTTGGTCACTCCTGACTCCCCCAAAAATGTGGACTTAACTTGGTGCTGTGACCCAGAGCAAGAGCCATCCCCAGATCTCTCTTGAGATCTGCAGTGAGGTCCATTCAGTAAGAGGTAGGCTGAGATGAGACTGGAAAGGGCTTCAAGGAAAACATTCCAAAATCTGGGGAAGGCCCAGGGAGGCCCAGAGGAGGATGGGGACCAAAAACAAAGGGTACATTCCACAGGCTTGACCCTCGAGACAAGAAAGGCAGAGATAGCCACTCACCTGCTTCCTCTCCACATCAAAACTAGCACATTCTGCTTGTTGACATTATAAAAGTACTCCACATTCATCATGGTAGGAAAATGGAACTCAATAATCTCACCACCTAGAGACAGTCACCCTTGACAGTTTGGTATATTGTCTTTAAGTCCCTTGTCTGTTCATCAATGAAGTGATGATCTTGCTGTATTCACAGTTTGGAATCCAACATTTTCCTTTATAATTTAATTGACAATATTTCATGCGATTTTTCTTCAAAAACATGATTTTTAAGTAGTTGGGATGTATTTCATCATATTAGCCAATACTATTTCTCTGTTACTGAATATATTTTACTTTGTCTTGTACAAAACCTGGAGAAAGAATATAAAAGAAGAAACTTCTTCCCTATGTCAAACAGCAACCTCGTTGCAAAGTCTCAGGCATGGAAATGCCTTTGTCCCTCAGAATCTGCATCATGTAGAGTTACTGTCCCCCTCACCACTACAAGTGGGCAGGGCCACACCTCACAGTGATGTCTGCTGGCAGGTGATTTCCACCTGAGCACAGTGGGCCTCCCAGGCCTGCCTGTGAAGAGAGAGCCTCCCTCGGGCTGGCCGTGTAAACCTGCAGGAGTGGCAGGGCTGTGACTGACCAGGGCTGCAAGGTCTCCTCCAGGAATCCCCTCCCAACAACAAGCCCAGAGCTCAAAGCCAGCTGGTCCTTGTATCGCAGCACTTTGCTTTCACTGTGTGCTCACATAGTGAGACTCCATGGAACTCGGCCCACCCAAAGAGGCCATGTGACATTTACCAACTGTGCCTGTCAAGCACCTGCTAACTAGGCCTGCCATTGAGCTGGGATCAGGGGCACATGTAGAAATGACATAGTCCTAGAGTCAGGCACATAGGCAGACATGAATGAGACAAGGAGACGCTCTCTGCAAGAGACCTGCCCAAGGAGCTCTGGGAGCTGAGGTTGCCTGGGAGTCCCTGGAGGCTGCTGACACTGGCCTGAGGAAAGTGAGGGGCAATGGTGGCCTTTCTCCCATCTGTTCTGTAGAAAAGGCAAAGCCTCGCCTGCTAGAAAGCCCACAGCAGTCCTTGGCTGTTGCAGACTGTGGATACACACCAACTTTAGCCTTTAGAGACATCAGTCAGTTCAAGACACTCCTCCCCTGAACACTCCAGAGGTTCCCAGCTCGTTCAAGAGCCCACTTCTACCCTCCTCCCATCCCTCCATCATGGCTCTAGCCCCCTCTCTCTCTTGCCCACTCTGGGTCTGTCCCTGGCCTTTCCCTGTGCCTGGGATGGCAATTTGGCTCCCTCCTTCAGCCTCTCGAACCTTTGTTCCCTTGTCTCCATTCACACCATGACAACACACCCACTCTGCTCTCATCTTCCTTGTCTCTCCTTATGGTGCTGCCACCCTTGACGTCCTACATTATGTCCTAACTTAATGGCTGCCTCACATCTCACTTTCCCACAATGTTTGCTCAGTGAGATTTTAGGAACTTGGTGCATCCTGGTCACTGCTATGCATGTTCCCAGCACCTACAGTAGATAGATGAATGGGTGGGTGGGTGGATTCTCCCACTCTTTCCCCAGTAGCCAGGACTGCCCCTCTAGTCTGCGTTCCTCCCATGGACTGGGTTTCTTGACAATGTCTGAGCTGCCCAGGGCACATGCTCAGAAATGGCTGGTTTGTCATTACATAAGATGAGATCTCGCTGAAAAGTAGGTACTCGCTCCAGGCCAGATGTGTGCAGTGGTGCCACTGGCACTCTGCTTCTTTGGTGTTTGAGGCACCTCAGGGCTACAGATGTGGGATGTAGAAGACCCTGGGGAAGCCAGGACACTAATGGCCATCCTGGGAGGGGCCCTGGGTGAAGACACATGGACAGCTTATCCCCTAGTCTGTCTCCACCCAGAAGCTAGACCCAGATAGTGACCATCAGGTCCCTTAAAGCAAACCTGTGAGACTGAGCACAGGTTGTCAAGGATTCCAGTGAGGGGCAGCACTGGATTTCTACCCACTGTTTTCTGCTAAGAAGGGGATGAGCTGCTTCATGTTCCTCCTTGTGTTAGTGGGAAGCCTTGGGAGAAAGGACAAAGGGGAATTATGAACTCTTGACACAAAAAGAACAGCTGAGTAATGAGGACCTCTCTGTGTGCAGACGCAGGAGGCCAGCCTGGTAGGCCTTGTGGATTTGAGTCTCCTCTGGCTTGTCCCTTCCTCATGTACTTTCTCTCCTCTACTACCATGGCCTCTGGCTGCAGGAATGTGGGGGTTTCATGACCGGGACCTGGTATTACGGAAAGCTCTCTACACCATGATGAGGACGGGGGCTGAAAGGGAAGCCCTGAAGCGGAGGTGGAGGTGGCAGCAGACACAGCAGAACAAGGAGGTTGGTACCCACTAGCATAGCCGCAGCCCAGGACCCTCACTGGGCACGGCCTCAGACCGTGATGGAGTCCAGAGCATGGCCTTGGGGCCCAAGTCCATCTTGTGAGGCCAGGCAGAAACAGCCCCTGGGATCAGTCAGCCTCCCACACTTAAGCCCGTGATAGAGGAGCTTATTCAAAGAGTACAGTCCCAGCAGACTGTAGCCACGTGACCACTTGAACTCCTTGAGGCATAATAGAAAAAGCCTCCCACCTTCACTCCCAAAAGTGTCCCAGCATGAATGACAAATTATATGGTCACTGCTGTCAGGTGCAACCTGCTACCCCAGCCTCATATGTGAGCTCAATTCAGACTCCCAGTCTTCCCTACTCACAGGGAATATTGGCGCTCTGCTCTCCTGGAAGAAGAATCTGCCTGCTTTTTGACCGAAGTTGGCCTTTACCCCATGAACTCTATAATGGGCAGCCTCAGCCAGGTGCATGCACAGGTTAATGCTCAATCATCCCCACCCCCTGGGATTACCCCTCTGGGTGGGTGAATTCCCAGTAGCTCTGAAAGTTGAGATTGCAGTTTCTGAAAATAGTTTTCCATAGTCAAGTGGGGGAACAGTTGGTGATCACTAAGAGATGTACCCACCCTGGGTGCTGGTGGGGCTTGGACCAAGCTGAGTGGTCTGGGCGGGGCGGGTGCCGTGGCCCACCCCCTTCTCCTGAACCGGCTGCTTTTGTGCCAGTCAGGGCTGGTGTACACAGAGGAGGAGTGGGAGCGAGAGTGGACAGAGCTGTTGAAGCTGGCCTCCAGTGAGCCGCGCACACACTTCAGCAAGAACGGTGGCACAGGCGGGGGGTAAGTGCTGCGTCTGCTCTCCCAAGGGTCACCTCAAGCTCCAGGCCACCCCGGGATACATATGGTATGGGGCATGGTGCAGGTGGGAACGTGGTACCCTTCTGAACTGGGGAAGATGGTTGTGAGCATGGCTGGCACCTGTCAGACACTGGGGAAGTGTCCACAGCCCCACATGCATTGCACGGGAGGAGGCAAGCTCATCGCAGGCCATCCCCAGGCCCATCTTCCTTGAACTTTGCAATGCAGAGGGCACAGCCAGCCTCAGGAGCTACACATGGCGGCTGTCCTTCCCACACACTGCCATTGCGCGAGCCAGGCTCTGAAGGCTCGAGCTGGGCCTTTTCCCAGCTCAATATTTAATTTGTGGCTTCAAGAATTCCCACTGAAAACAAAAGATCATTAAGCCAGCCTGGTATTTCCCAGATGTTGCTCCTTGGCTATTATGTATGTTCTTGGCAAAAGAACATAAGAACATACATAAGAACAGCTGTGCACATTTAGAGGTAGCTTCTTCATTCTAAAACATCTTGAATATCCTAGTGTGGAATGCAGAGTATGGCCAAACGAGGTGACCATGGAGCCTTGGCCCACGGCATACTCTTTGGTTCACACTGTTTTGAACCTGAAGGCAAGGAAAGGTCTCAGCCAAACAGGAAAGTGTGGGAACTCACACCAAGGAGACACACAAAAGGGCCAGGGGACCACATGCAGCTCCAGCTACCTTCAGGATCACGGGCCCGCAGCAGCCATCTGGGTCCTCACCCACCCACTGTGAGACAGCTGCTGCAGGCCCGTGATCCTGAAGGTAGCTGGAGCTGCATGTGGTCCCCTGGCCCTTTTGTGTGTCTCCTTGGTGTGAGTTCCCACACTTTCCTGTTTGGCTGAGACCTTTCTTGGAAGGATTGCCTGAGCCCAGGAGATGGAGGCTGTGGTGAGCCATTATTGTGCCACTGCACCCCAGCCTGGGTGATAGAATGATCAATAATAATAATAGTAATAATAATAGTAATAGTAGTAATAATGTGTAACTATCACTGAATACATCCCACCCAGAAGGAGCTGTGCCTATGGTCCCATGGCTGTTTAGCCTATCTGACTTCTGAGGACACAGCCTGGGCCCCTACTGCCTGCTCCCCAGGGTCAGAGGGGGTTCTGATGAGAATGGAGGAGGGGGGCAGGGTGGTGTGCAGTGTTCGTCCCTGTCTCCCATCTCAAGGCAGAGCAGGACTTCAGGGAAGGGGTCTCCTCGGTGGTGGATGGCAACTCTCTTGTTCTCTCTGTTCCTTCTCTTTCCCCTACCCCATGAGCCTTGAGGATAGAGGGAGGGGCAGAGCGCATTGACCAGTGACCCAACTGCTCTCCAGGTCACAGGAGGGCTCTGGGGTTGCCGAAACCGCTCCTGCACTTCCTCTGCCAGTCCAGCCAGAGCTGCTATGCTCCTCCACACTTCCCCTCCTCTCAGGACTCCTGAAGCACCTGCTGTGTCCCTGCCACCCCCTTCACCAGTAGCCTGGTTTTGATAAAAATGATAAATGGTAATGATAAAAATGCCCCTAGTCAGAAGCAACCTGTGATGGATGGCAGATGTTATTTATTCCAAAGACATTTCCTAGTTGGTTGAGTGTCCTTCACTGGAACGTGGACCAGGAACCAGCAGGCTTGAGGCCCAGGATGACCAGATCTACTAGTGTCCTCCTGCCTCAGGGGGGGCAGGGGCCAGACAATAGCCGGGACGCTGACCCCCCTGCTCCCTCTTCTGTCCACCTGCACAGACCAGAGGAAGAACACTATGTCTGGACTTCAAATAGTTCCTAGAGTTCAGCTCCTTCCCCCACAGCCCTCCCATGCAGGGCTCAGTGTTGTCTGGCCCCATATCTTCAGCCTGCACTGATGGTCCCTAGATCCCACAGCAGCCAGTTAGCCCTAGGAGGAGGTGAGGGCTCCTAGATCCAGGTTCTCTTTGACCTTGACGTGCTACTTCTGTAAACGTGTGGTGAGTCCCCAAGACATGGCATTGGAATCATCTCGTCCAACCTTCCTGCCCTTTTCCTCCCTTCTGGATAACTCTCAAGGTGTTTCCTCCCCTGCCGTGTGTCCCACCTTTGCCACAGGATACAGGGCCTCCTACTCCCCATGAGAGGCACTGGAAATGAGTCGTGGTGACCATAAGCTGTGCTCATACTCAGTACTCAGTACCATTTCTGGTGATAGGTGAGCAGGGAGTCCCCTGCCCAGAGAACAGATGTGGGGAGTATCTTAGGAGCTGCTTGGAGCAGGTGACCATGCACACTGGTGCCTGGGTACTGTCAAGACGTGTCCCTTGGCCAGGAATTGTGGCTCATACCTGTAATCCCAGCACTTTGGGAGGCAAAGGCAGTAGGATGGCTTGAGGCAAGGAGTTCAAGACCAGCCTTGGCAATATAGCGAGATCGCACTCACTCAGAAACCTGGTCCCCATGGATGAAAGGGAAAGGAAAACAGTTTGGCCCTTGCATCCTGCTTTAAACCCCCCTAGTATGGGACAGTTGGGAACAGACCCCATTCTGCTTGTCCTTGACATGGACAATGGCCAGGAGTCACTTTTAAACCTGTTACTTTCCCAGAAAGTGACTAGGTTAAGTATCTGAAGAGATCAGAAGGGACCAGAGGCCAGACTTGAGTGTGAGCAGAACCATCTTCTTGTCTCCTTCCCAGCAGGACTCACAGTGGCCAGGCACCCAGCTTACAGGAAGAGCCAGGCAGGAGACCCTGGAGACAGGAGAAGGGGTGGAGATCAGGCTGGCACCCAGGCAGGGCGGGCCACCAGCTGGATGGTACCTTGGAGAGGCTCCTTGAGGACTGATGCCTCTAAGTCTGTGAGCACAGAGAAAGGCACCCTCAAAGACCCTCAGGAGATGAGGCCAGGTATGGGCTTCCTATTCAGACTCAGATGTGTAAGAAAGGCAAGTGGATGGTACTGCAGAGACAGTGAGTACAAGGATGAGCTGAGGCCCAGGCAAGGGCAGGCGCCTCTGAGCACAGACTGCAGGAGGAACTCACCCTGATGCTTCAACTTGCAAATCAAAGACAACCATTTCTCTATAATCAAGACAACTCAATCTAGATGCTCTGTGCTGCTGCTGCTGCTGCTAAGATCTTACCTCCAGTTTATAACTGCGGGACTAGATTGCAGACCCAGACCTATCTGAGTCCAAGCCCTGGAGTTTCCCTGGCAGGATGCAGTGGCTTCTTAAGAAAGAGTGCCTGCAGATAGACATTCTGAGCCCTGGCATATCTGAATTTGTCTTTAGTCTACCTCACCCTTTGATGCATAGTTTGGCTGGGTTTGAAATTCTTACTTGGAAATTATGAGATGAATGATGTCCTCGGAGAAGACAAATCAAATAGAAAGACACCATCTTCTGGGCACTCATCTAGGTCAACTAATTTGAAATGAGAAGCAATGATATGAAATCCAAAGGCTAAATATAGTCAGTCTCTTACTTCATCTTTACAAGCTCTGAAAAATATTTCTTCATTAATTTGGCATGTAGTAATTGCCTACCATGTGTGCATTTTCACGTACCCTGCCACATTTAATCATCACAGTAACCCTGTGACTTGAAGATTTTAATTCTCATTGACCATATGAGGAAACTGAGATTCAGAATGGAAAGTGGCTTGTCTAGGATAACAGTTCTACTGAGCAGCAGACCTGCAGTCCAGTTCACATCTTGTGCTTCTCAGGTCCCTGCTCCCTCCTTTCTTCCCTGCCCCTCAGCTCGGAAACCTGTGTCTCCAGGATTATAGAGCACTGGAATCCTGCTGCTTCCTCACTATTAGTTCTGTGAGTGATGGAATAATGCCTCCTTATTTTCTGCTCCGATTTCCCAAGGTGATTATGCACCAAGGTCTCCTCTAAAGGTTGGTGTGCTTTGTTGCAATCCTACAACACAGAAGCTCCAGAATGTCTTTCTGATTCGAAATGTGGGAAGTCATAACTCTGAAAGCATATACTTCTAGATGCTTCTGTTTTCAGTCTACTTACACTCGTGTCAAGACTAGAAGACCATGAACAGGATTCAGCTGTTGTGTGGGCAGTGGTCCATTGGATAAGAAGATATGGGATGTGTTTACAAAATGTTCAGGTTTTTTTAGAAGACATATTGATTTTATTGTGTTGGGTTGAGGCACAAGTTTGTAGTGTTTTTCACTTGTCAGTGGAATGCAAACGTTGCATAATGGTTGACTGGCCACAGTTCATCACATTTGCCAATTCTTGGGTTGGCTGACGTGGATCATCGTGGATCAAAGCATTTAAATGGTCTTCATTGAAGCCCAGTGGGCTTCCTGAAGGTGGAGAATCACTCAGGTCAAAGTGGCTTTCTTTGAAACAACAAAACCATTTTCTTGCCTAGGCTCCCCTGAGTCCCTGAAGGAAATGAACAGAAGAGGAACCCTCCATCCCTCCAGCCCCCACTGCATCCTTGTCAAACACCCTCAGAGAACAAACCCCCCATAGCCGTAGGCTCTGGTGGGTTACCTCTGCCTGCAGAGAGACCTCATCTTAACAGTGGCCAGCATCCCTCGCCTGCAGGTGCTCTCTGACTTGTCTTCTGAGACCACTTAACCCAGGGTGGGGGCAGGGAGCTAGAGCCTGTGCAGTTGCCATCAGGGGATAGCATGGGAGGTGGCCTCGGGTGGTATGGCTGCTGGGGTCCATGGAGATAAGATCCAGAGATCCAGAGTGGGGGAGGCTCAAGACCTGCATAGAGTAGTCTCCGTTCTCTCCATCCTTCATCCCAGGGGAGTCTGGTGACAGACTGGCTCTGTTTTGTCTCCTAGCATGGACAATGCTGAGGACCCCGTGTACGAGAGCCTAGAGGAGTTCCACGTTTTTGTCTTAGCCCATATACTGAGGAGACCTATCGTGGTGGTGGCAGACACAATGCTAAGAGACTCAGGTGGAGAAGGTGAGTTCTTCAAAGAGACATATTTGTTCATGAAAGGAAGCATAACATCCCAGTTAGAGAAAAGGCACATAACATAAAGGCTGAGCTCCCAAAAGGCCATGGACAAAGATGGTATTATTTCTTTTCATTTCTCTACTCAGCATATTTCTTTTTCCTCCCTGGCCGAGACTAAGCCCCAAGGGACCCCAGCCCCCATTGATGCCCAGAACATGGCAGTCAGCCCATATCCCTGCAATGGCTCCATCCCATGTCTCTGAACCCCTCAGTCACTCCAGTATCCTTCTGCCTCTCTTCAGGTAGCATGTGTGTTAAAGAGAACAGAAAGAGGAAGGAAAGTGTAGAGTCACTTGGCAAGGTTGGGGTGGGATCAGAACTGGCAAAGGAAGAGGCAAGGGCATGTATGGCCTGTGTATGGCCTGGTATGGCCTAGCCACTGAGAGCCAGGCATTGTGCACAGCCTCTTCTCTGATGCTCCTCCTTCATCCCTCACCACAACCTCCCAGGTAGATAACAGTCTTTCTGCTTTATAGTGGGGTCTCTAAAGTGCCTTCAAAAGGAAGTCTGGACCTACCCCAAGAGGTCTGATGGGGCTGAGAGCTCAGACTGGGCTTTCCCTGAAGGACCTCATAAAGTCCTGGCGCTGCTCCAAACGCTGCAGACCCCAGGAGACTGAAGCCCAGAGAGGTTAAGCAATATCCCCAGCAGGGTTCACCCAGGACAGAGAGTGCTTCAAGGCCTGTCCTCCCTGCAGCCTGCAGCTTCCCAGGGCATCCCTCCTGCCCAACTTAAAACTGCATGTTAACAAAATGTGCAGGTCTCCCGAGAAACCCTACAAATTAGGATATGGCTCCTCATGCTGAGTCACAGCTGCCACGAATGTGTGATGTGGCCACCATGGTACGTGGGTGGGGAGCTAGTAGGACACAGGTCCTGCTCAGAACCTCCCCCTTCCCTGTGCGGCCCAGGGACACAGGCCTGCTGAGTCCGCAGCTCTCAGGAGCAACACCAGGACTTGCACCAGGACCCTGCTGGGAAAGCCCCAGCCAAGCTTCCAGTTCCATAAGACCTCCTGGAAGAGGGTCCATGCTTCCTTCCATATGACCTGCAACCCTCTTACAGAATCCCTTCCTGCCTCTGTGGGATTCTGTGGGCAGAACCACACAGACCAATTTAGACAAAGTGAGGGTGGGAAGCAGCCCTGAGAGTTCATCAAAGATGTGGTTCACGTTCCTGTCCTTGCATTCTGCTCAAAGGAGTGCAGCGACTCATGGGCTCTGGGACCCAGTGGGAAGATGCTTTATGACAAAAAGCAGATGCTGCTTTAAGGCAGATATTTCCAGAAATTATTCTATCTCAGGCTTATTGGCCCTTTATTTTTCTGAATATGGAAATGAGCAAGATTGTGTCCTTGTCGCTAACGTATTTGGTCCCTCTGTTTCTCACTTCTTGTCAAAGTCCTGGAACTCTCTGGTTGGTTTTTGGATTCACTAGAACAGGTTCTCAAAATGTTACACAAACACTCTCAAGAAGTGGAGATACTGCTTTGTATGCAAATCCTTTAATGAACACAAGGAGAGGAGTCCATCCAGAAAGACATAGGCTCCAGGCCGTGACCGCTGACCATCTTGGGGACCCAGTTGTCCCAGCCCCAGGGCTCCAGAATGCCTGTGTGATCTCAGGGCAGCATGTTCTGGGGCTGATCACCTTGGAAACTCCAGCCCCAGCCCTCAGCACTGCCTTTGTCTACCTGTCCTGTCCCTCTGTTCCTCTACCAAAGAGCCCCTCAGAGGCGAGGGACAGGGCACAGAGGCCTCCCCTCTCAGGGCCCGCCTACTCCTCATGCCCTCGCCCTTATTTGTGTCCACAGCATTTGCCCCAATCCCATTTGGAGGGATCTACCTGCCCTTGGAGGTCCCCCCCAACAGGTGCCACTGCTCACCTCTGGTCCTGGCCTACGATCAAGCGCATTTCTCTGCCCTCGTGTCCATGGAACAGAGAGACCAGCAAAGGGAACAAGGTAGGTCTGGGTGTGCCTGCAGATGGACAGGGTAGAGCTGCTGAAGGCGACGCCCTTGATGGGCAGAGGGGAGCACAGGGAGGGATAGGAGACTCCCCTTGGAAGCCTGTGCACACTGGGCAGTGAGGGGGTTTGCATAAAAGTACTGTGTGTGTGTGTGTGTGTGTGTGTGTGTGTGTGTGTGTGTGTGTGTATGTGTGTGTGTGTAAATGTTTTCATTATAATGTTAGAGACAGCGTTTCATCTAAAATACTAGCCACATGAATAATCCCACCAACCTCTGTAGCCCTTACTGCAGTTCCCCTTCACATGAATACACATTTTACATGGATGTCATTAGTCTTAGGTGTAAATTAAATTAAATTTTTAAAAACTTCATGTGCAGAGATTAACAAACCACGGGCACCCACCTATTTTATTTTTTTAATGCAAATAATATAACTGGTTTTATTTTTGCTAGGTTAAGATATCCTTTTTGAAATATTCTTTTTCTCAAGTGGGAATCTTATGTTGAGTAAAAACCAATTAATACATTTTTCTTTTGTTATCATGTAAATCAGTTTGATATCATCTAGATATATATAATTTTTTATCAATATTTTTTATTATGGTTTTGTGGGGTACAGTTAAGGGTTAGGTGTACAATTACGTTTCATTCAGGCACCCTGTTGATAAGAGGTGTTTCCCCGTCCCCAGACAGATATTTGCTACTGTTAATCCCATCCCCCCCATACTTTCCCAATACCGTCAGTCATTTTCTTATAGTATTACATTGGATGTTATTTTTAAATAAAGTTTTATTGGCAGCAGCCATATTCCTTCACTGGTATGTCGTTTGTGGCTGCTCTTGCACTACGGTGGCAGAGCTAAGTGGCAGCCACAGAGACTGCATGGCCCCCAGAGCCTAGGATATTGACTGACTCATTTTCACAGAAAAGCCTACCTAGCCTGCTCTAGAGTAAGATTTTGAATCAAAAACTCGCTGTTTCTTTTCAAAACCCTCCTATTTCCTGCAAATAGCCATTTCAATGCTGAGTCAGCCCCACCCACTGCACACTACACAATTCCAAGGCTGGGGAAATAGGGGAGTTTTGTTTGGAACAGTTGCTGTTTCTCATGGTAGCTACTGATGGATATGTGACCAGCTTAGTCGAGAGGAAACTGACCCTTCCTGTTGTCACTCTTGTTTCTGGTATAGGCAGAGAATCTCCCAGGAGACTGAAGGACAGGCAAGACAGACTGTTTCAGGGTCCCTGCCATTGGGTGTGGTTTCAGGGAATGGGAAGTGACTCATCTAGGCCCACCACAGATCAGGAAGCTCAGCAGTGTCTGGTTCTGATTGTACACACTGAGTGTGTAGCTTGAGAAGTAAACACAGCGACAAAATTGCCCCCATCAAAGCTCCAAGTGCTGCCCGTAGACAGCGTGCATGGAAGGGTCACACGAGCAAAACCCAGCCCCCACCAGCCCTCAGCAAGATTCAGTGCCAGCTTGTTTCCTGGCCTGAAGGTCAAGTCAGAATAGAGTCCCAAAAGTGACAGAAGCATGGGATGCTCACCGACCCCCTCCCAAGCATGAATTACAACTGCAAGGGGCTGGTAAGTGTGGCGCAGCCATGGACCCGTGTCCCAGGACGGGAGAGAGACCAGGCTGCTGCCAGCTATGATAGAAAGGTCACGTCACCATTCTTTATTATTTAGAGACAGCTCACTGGCCACAGAAGGGAAGGTTTCATCACTGAGGCCTACCAGGCGTCTCTGCCTCTGGTGTCATCTCTCCACTTTTTGTCAGCAGAGGCTGCACCTCTTTCCTGGGTTTTTAGCCCTTCTCAGGCTTCCCATGCCTCTTGGGAGACAAGAGGGGAATTTCTCAGGACCTAGATCTGTCCAGTCTCACAGGAGTCTCTGTTTAGAGAAAGATGATGCCCCCAGGGCCAGTGTCTCCCGCTGTTGAGCATGGGATTCAGATACCCAGCATCCTCCCCAAAGGCACTCAGGTCTCTCTTAGGCATCCCAGTTGCTGCTCTCTGGTGTCTTCAAGGCAGATATGAAGGCATCTCCCATAAAAGGACAAATGTGGAGGGTACTGTGGCTCAGCCTCTCTAGGGGGAGTATTGCAGGGTGTGGGTGCTTTCACCTCTGATGACCTGTTTTTTTCCCCATGGTGGGATCTGGTTCCAGGGCACCACGCAGAGCGGCTGGTATGGGCTCTTGCGGCTCCCTCACAGCCGCAGGCAGTGTGCTGACTTATTCCTTGTGCTTGTCAGTCCCTGCCTCCAAGAACAGGATGTGACCAGACTGCCCTTCCAACCCCCATGACCCACTGCAGGGCAGCCAGGCTCTTTGTCACACACCTATGTGCCCCTAGGACCTTCCCATCTGCTGCCCTCCTTTAGTGACTCAAGGAACGTTGCAGGGACCAAGTCTCAGCTTGTGCCCTCAAGTCACATGGCATCTCAGCAAGGAGAGGGACACAGAAGCCACAGTAATGCTGCAGTTCCCAGGATGGGACCCGGAATCCTCTGAAGCACAGGGGAGGAGACACTCAGGTCTGCCAGAGTGAGCTGCCACCACCACAAAGTCCCAGAGCCTGGAGGAAAGCAGGAGATGGGAGACCCAGGGACGAAAAGCCCTAGGACACCCACCAGCCCCCACTGCGGAGCACAGCTGCCACACAGTTGCTGTGGAGCCCATGCAAAGGACACCTTGCAGTGAGCACCCCATGTCGGAATCCAGTCAGTACAGTAATCATAGGTCCCAGGGAGAGCAGACACATTGTCCTCGTGTCTGAGGAGCCTGGAGATGAGATAAAAATGTATTCTTGGCTATGAGATGAGGCTCCCATCTTCCCTCCACTCCCTTCCTCCTTTGCATGGCCCATCGTATCTCATCTGCATGTATCCAAGCTCCTGGAAGCTCCAAAACATGTGAGGCATTCGCTAAACTTTGCATGCGAACGCCTCCCTGTGTTGAAACACCGTACGCAAGAACCTATTCCCCCTATATACAGCCCCAAGAACCTATTCCCCCTATATACAGCCCCCACTGCCGCAACCTGGCCACTGCTGACCATCTTCGAGCTCAAGAATCCCACCACACGTCTCAGGCCGGGTGTGCACATGAGGAGAGGAAGGGCTTGAAGTGGAAGGTCGGGAGCTGGCATACTGGTTCTCTGTGGGCAACCTGAGTGGCATGGCTTTGGCAATCCATGTTAGAGGCTTTTAGACATATGTATGCTTTTTCGATAGCATCCACAGATGACAGTCAGCTGCTTTCTCCAAAGGAGAAAGCCTGGGCTGCACCCTACCTTCATGCTCATCTCTTTGTAGGTACTTCCTGAGCACAGGTGTCATTATAGGGCCTTTCCAGGAATAGCTATTTAATCCATTTCGTCTCCCCACTTTACAGAGGAGGAAACTGAAGAAGGAGGGACCATCCCCACAGAATGGTTGGAGCCAGTGAAGGGTTGGTAGGGTGTTTGGTGAGGATTCCACAAAGAAAGGTGGCCAAAGAGGGTGGCTGTGGGGAAGCATGTGTCTCTCAGAGAGGAAGCTTGGGAAGTGAGGCTTGGGATGAAGTAGATTCTCTCTCAGGAACCTTCAGGGTTGGAAAAGGTTTCATCAAAGGTGTTAATGCCACTGATTTCTATTATTTTCTAAAGCAACAATATACAAGGTAACTATTTAAACAGTTTTCCCTTCCTAAATGCAAACCGCCTGTGAGCATCTGAGGCATAGTCAGGGGCTGCATGAGTTCAGGGAGCCCCAAGCGTGTCCCCAGTGCCCTCCCTGGGGAGTCCTGCTCAGGGAACCAGGAGGTTAGCACCCAAGCAGCCCTGGGGAACCCAGTGGTAGAGATGAGAGGGAGATGCTGCTGATGTAAACAGGAACTCCAGACTGTAGGTTCGAGGCTGACAGGTGATTGCACCAAGGTTTGTTCTTCCTTTACTGGGAACAGAGACTTAACACACCCAAAATGTGACATTTGCAAAAATAAAAATTTAGAAAAAAACACTTTTGCAAAGAGCAGCCTGAAGCTTTATCGCTTGCCGCTTGGAAAAAACACAAGTTTATAAATTGAGCCTACGGGGATCTTGTGGAGCCAAACAGTAGTAATTCTATCCAACAGGCCATGAAAGCAGCTTTTAATCTGTGTCACAGTGCTATATTTTAGGAAGCAAACTCCATATCATCAGGGGGACTTATGTTTATGCAAAAAGCTGTACATCAGTGTTTACAATAGTTTTATTTGTAATAGCCCAAAACTAGAAACAATCCAATGTTCTTCCTAGGCAAATAGTTGAACAAACAGTGGTACATCTATTCTATACCAAGGAATACGGCTCAGGGGTAAAAGGATCACACACAATAACTTGAATGGGTCTCAGGGGTATTATGCTGAGTGAAAAAAACCTGTCCCAAAAGGTTACATACTATATTATTCCAGTTATGTAGCATTCTTGAAACAGCAAACTTATAGAGATATGAGAACAGTTTAGTGGTGGCCAGGGGTTAGGAACAGGGAGAGGGTGGAGGGAGGTGGGTATGTTTATAAGAGGGTAGCATAGGAACCTTGTGGTAAAGTAACTGTCCTGTGTCTTGACTGAGGTCATTACAGTTCCATACATATTATAAAGTTTCACAGAACTAAATACACACACACACACACACACACACACACACACACACACACACACACACACACATGAGTGCATTTGAAACCAGTGTCATCTGAATGCAATTGGTGGAATTTATCAAAGTCAGTATCCTGGTTGTGACATTGTGTACAGCTAGCAAGACCTTACAACTGGGGGAAACCGAGAGATGTGTATACAGACAGTTGCGTGTGAATTTGCAGTTACTGCACAATAGAAAGTTCAATTTTTTAATATGTGCCCTTAAAATATGACAAATACGTATTGACTAGCAGGAATGTCCCAATGGCCTAAAATGATTTAAAAGCCTAGTTTACCATTTTTCCTGCTTAAAACTTGGATTCAGG